TGGAATATGCATCAGCTCCTGTTAAGAGCTTCCTAATTACATTCTGTGAATGCTATCCTAGGCTTTCCTCACTGCTTCCATAATTAAAGTACCAAACACTCTTCCCTGATATTGAGTGCACAGGTTTACAACAGGACACTTGCACTTTGAATTGTTCTCAGGTTTTTCTGTCTGGAAACCTCAGTTTGCCATTACCTGAGACATTGGATCTGCTTTATTTAACTCACATCCCTGAGAGTTATGTGGTGTAATTGTGCCTGTGGTGACAAGTATCTGCAAAGGAAGGAAAAGCTACTTCATCACAGATGAGGACTTGTGGAAATTGAAGAATAAAAGACTGTTCTTGAGCATATGAAGCCCCACGGACAGGGAGTGGAATACACAGACAACATATGTGATCCAGCCCCCTCTCGTGGTTTTTTCCACACAGAAGGCAGGAATTGATCCAGCCTTATTTCTTAATAAAAATATAAACACCTGCATCTTTTTCCTGAAAGCTCACATGTTACTGCTATTTCATCTCTTCTTTGGGGATGGTAGGCATTAGTCTCAGGATAGAAGATGATAATCTGTAAAAATGTTTATTTGCATTTCATATGCAACTTGACAGCCATTTTCACCAGAACACGGGGGGTTGGGGAAAGGGATTTGTTGGCCATTTCTATAATCTGATTTTTCTTCAAATTGAGGGAGAAAGAGCACTAAATACTAAAGGATAGAAAACTCCCCTGGTAGACTGATAAAGTACAGAAACAAATACAGGCATTTGGTTGTCTTACACTGATCTGTGAGGGTTTTTGGGTTGAACCAAACTGCATGATACTAACAAATAGCAAGTCAGTGTTTGTTAGTGGATGAAGTGGATGAATGCACTGAACTTAGAGAAGAGATAAATGTCTTGCTAAAGCCAAGCTGGCTCCAGTTGTTGTTCTGGGGCGTGCAGAGCACTGGCTAAATCAGCCCTGACCACTTGTTCTTGCTCTGCAGCACTAGCAGGGCCTTTCTGTGATTTTTCCATTTCATTTCATTTATGGTTCACTGTGCAGAAAACAGGAATTCAGCTGCCCTGTTCCCCCACAGTGCTCATCCTGGCCATAGGAAGAGCTGTCCCAGAGCAACGGGAGCAGCAGCTGAAGATCAGCAGTAACTGCCCTCAGGTGGCACCTGTTCCAAGCAGCTCACACAGCGTGGGCAGAGCTGAGGATGTGCTGCACAGCTGTGGGTTGGCAGTGCAGCTCCCTTGACTGAGGCTGTAGAGCTCAGGGGTCTTAAATGCTGTTTGCTGCACTCCCATCCTTCCCCTCTGCCCGTGGTAAAATGATGAGTACAGGCCTCAGGGACAAGGAACTTGTGATGACATCAGTTATGAAGAAGGAAGGTGAAAGGCTCTGGAGTGGGAAGCCAGCCTGCTGGAGCAGTGGGAAGCAGCTGTTAGGATCCAACGTCAGCAGTGGAACTGTTAATGCCACACAGATGACATAAAACTGGTAAAGAATCTGGTTATTTTGATAAAAACACATCTTTAGTATTGAAGAGGAAATCTTTTTCTCCCACCTACGTTTCTTTGAAGACTCAAAGGGATGCACCAAAGCATATGAATGCAATCCACGGTACAGTGTTCTGATGGTACTCTGTTCTGACATAGTAAATGTATCCTCATGTAAACTCATTTGCACCTAACACCATTTTTCCGGAATGTTATATGTTGTGTAATGGTGGCATTTCCTCACTGGTATCTCCTTTGGATGCTAATCAGAGATCTGGAAGGATTAAAATTACTTCAACACTCCAATTAAAGTATGAGCAAAGCTAGAGAAGTTGGTACCATCCTACACTGGGGTATTGCTGTGCTTTCTTTCTGAAGAGTATTTGCTTACTAAAAGTACCATTTGGTGTGACCTTTTCATAATGAGATGTACTTTAACTTGCAAGGCATTAAAGAGCTGATTCTAGAAGCAGAGAAAAGGAGCTTTGCTATCCAACAAAGTTCTTATAAGAAGTACATTAAGGAACATAAAGCCAGCACAAACAGCCTCAGATACTGAATTTACAGCTAATGAAGAAGTGTTTATAGATGGGGCCTCTAAGAGTTGTATAATGGAAGTCATTGAATAGGTTTGTCTGGAAAAGAAAACATTGACAATGTCAATTCTCTGCCAGTTCCACTGCCAGACTGACAAAGGGAGTGGGAACTTGTTTTTCCAGCTCAAGAAAAGAGCTTTGGATGGTTTTCATTAATACTGCCTGTGAATACCAATATTTCCAGCAGATGAAACTTGGATTTCAGACCAAAGAACTGGTGCGGTGTTGCTGCAGTGTGGCTGTATGTCAGAATATGACAGGGGAAAAATATACGACAAAATACAATTTTGTTAAGTGTAAGAAACAGTGAAGACCTCAGCTGTGATGTGGTGTGATACCTGAAGCAGGGGAAGCAACCAGAGCCCATCTGCTGCCTATGGCAAGGGAGTGCAGCAGGGAGGTACAGAGCTTTCCCCACTTACTCTTCTGTGTCTGTCACCTCTGCACAATTTGGTTCTGGTGATCCATTATGAACAGCACTTCTGACTTGCATTCATTTCACTCAGAAGTGCAGCTTGAATCACTGCCATTGTCACCAAACCCTTTTCAGGTTAGAATTTAGTGAACTTTTGTACTGCAGAGTGCTCTAGTTGATCTCTGGAACAGGGCTTTGAACCAGGGTGATGTTTGCTCTCCTGAGACACAGTATCTGTATTTTTCTTACAGAAAGCCAAACCCACAGTTGTGTAGGCCTGATTGGGTTTGACAGTCTGGACTTTTGGTACCCAGTACTGAGTGCAGGAATGATCTGGACCTAATGCTGGAGATAACGCAACTTTTGGGTTGTGAGTTATTTGTGCTTTTCAGTCAAAATTATGGCTATTTTATGAGGCCGCTTCAGGAGGACAAGTCACGTCTCTCTGCTGGCAAACACGGGTCTGGAAACATAAAAACATAAGCCCTTGTTCTGCAAATAAATTCTCTGGGACCTCAGAGCCCATTCAGACACAATTCCTAGAGCCATTTCAAGTATTTCTTAGTCACGCCCAGGAGATTGCTCTGCCAAAATCCATATGAAACATCTGATCACAAGGCCCATTTTGTGCATTAGTTGCCTTCAGAAGTTGTAAGCAAACAGCTCCTGAAAGACGTATATGGACTTAGGAATCTCACCATGGGTTTCCCCAGGGTTTTATATTCTTTTGTAGATGTCCATCATGGTCCTCAGTGTTCATCTTGGTAGTGCCTGGCACTGGACAGAATTAACTGAAAGAATATTTTCTTTGATTTCATTTATTAGACATATAATGTCAACATATAGGGGGAAAGATATTGAATGTCACAGTATTAAATTCTTGGTCATAAAAATGTACAAAATATTCTCAAGATGCAACATCACCAATGTAAAGAATTGTAATGTTTAGGATGTGCCACTTTTTCCTCTGCAGTTACAAATTTTCCTTAAATCTGGCTTTATTATTTATGATTTTGTTATTCCTCTTACAAGTCAGGTCATTCTGCCCTTGATATCACTCAAATACATAAACTTAACAAAACTCCTGTTTAAATAACCTGAAGTTTCTGTGAGCAAGAACTGCTGAAATCTAGCTCCTAATGTGCACCATATGTTGGCATGCTTCTTTCTTGGAGATGACATTTTGCTTTGCTTCCAGTAGATAACATTTCTTTTACAGAAAAATACCCTGGTGAGAGGCTAGAGGCAGACTGATGGATCGGGGATGGGTCTATTTAAGGGTCACCATCTTCCCCAACTGTTTGTCACACTGAGACTTCTCAAAACGCTTTGCATTTTTAACATCCTTTGCAAAATTCTCCAGTTGCAAAAACAGCTGGGTGGCTATTAAAACAATGGATTTAGAACTGATTTTCCAGAAATAACTCTGTACATTATGGTAGATCACCAGCATGTTAATGTTTAGGATGGTTCCTGTGAGGTCAGAGAGTCGGGAAAAGTAACATCAGTTGGTATCTCCAACACTAATTTATTCTCTTAGCGGCTCTCATTTAACCATTTGCTACTGACTGAATCTGGTATTGTATCATTAAATAGTAGTTTCCCTGTAACACAGCTGATGGATTTGATGTTCAGTGTGAACAAGAACGTGAGGCTGGGATTTCTGGCACTGGGTGCAGTAGTCTGTCTCTGGGAAGTTTCCCTCTCCCCGTTTTCCATCGAGGCTGTTTCTGTGCAGTCGTGAGCGCACAGAGGTCGCTCCCCCTGTGCTGCGTCCGTGAAATGCTCTCCGGCTGCTCGAAGAAAAGTAAAAATCCCACAAAACTCACGGGACGTTCAATAGTGCCGAGAATTTTAGAAGAAAACGCGTGATGCCGCGCCAGCGGACATGTGGGTTTGTTTGCTGCTGCAGCTGACAGAGCGTTATCAACATCGTAAATCATTCGGGTTTGAAACGGTCCGGGACAGTTCGTGGAAACCCTTCCACGCTGGGACGGCGCGGCCGCCGGTTATGAAAGGCCTTACAAAACCCGTTACAAAAGCACTTATAAAACCCCTCACAAACCCCGCGGGCCCGCCCGGGCGGTGTCACCCTCACGCCGCCCGCGGTGATGTCACACCGCCGCCGGTTACGTCACCGGGCCCCCTGCGCCCCCTGCTGGCGGGCCGCGGGAACTGCGGCGTGACGTCATCGGTCACCTACGGTCGCGCTGACGTCATCGGTCAGCTGAGGCCCCGCCGCACCCGGCGGGACGGCCCGGGCGGGCTGGGCCGTGTAAGCCGCGTGTGAGCGCCGGCCCGAACCGAGCCCGGCACACAGACACCCACACGGACACTCGTGTTTCGGACACTACAGCCGATCCCACCCCGCCCGAGGGCTGCGCTGCCCGCGCCCCGCCTTGCCCGGACCGGGCTGGGCCGGCCCCGTGACGTCCCGGCGGCGCGGCGATTGGCGGGCGCGGCCAGCGTGTCCCGCGCAGGCGCGCGGTGGCGGCGGCAGAACCGGGGCGGCAGAGCCGGCCCGCGGTGCCGAGCGGCGGCTGCGGGGGAGCGGCCGCGGCCCGGCCCTGCCGCCGACATGAAGATCTGGACCTCGGAGCACGTGTTCGAGTGAGCGGGGCAGGGCAGGGCGGGGCAGGGCAGGGCAGGGCAGTGGGGGGGCGGTGGCGGCGGCAGGCCGGACCCGGGCACGGCGGGGCTCCTCCGGGCCGGGGGCTGCGGTGGCTGCGCCTCCCCGGGGCCGCTCGCCCGCCCGCCCCGCGGGTGCTCCCCGCCCCCGCCCCGCTCCGGCGGCCGCGGCCTCCCGTGACCTTCCTTGCGCGTCCTTGCGGGCCCGGGGTCACGGCCCGCGGGGAAGGCTCCGGGAGCCGCGGCCGGCGGGGCTGCGGGACCTCGGCAGGGGCTGTACCTGTGCGGGGCTGTACCTGTGTGCTCTGGACGTGTGCACGGACCCACTCGCTGTGTCGGCGCTGCTCAGGGCTGTAGTGCTGCCCTCGCCTTCAAGGGGCAGCGCTGAGCGAACGAAGCACGCTGAGGCCCTTCATGGTGTCGGGGCTCAAGTGCTCCAAAAGACCTGTGTTAAAAATAATCCGAGGGAAATACTCGTTAGAGGAGAGTAACAACTTAATAAATCAATCCAGTATTACTGAAATCTGGATGAAGTGCAGTCTTTATGTCACAAGGAAACGTTCTTATCAAGTTATATTATAATAGGACACCGGATAAATGAGGTGTGTTGTATGTTTGACTTGCATGTGGCACTGTCTAGTCCATGAAGTAGAGGTGTTTCTCTAGGAAGGATATGTGTAGGGTTGAGAAGTGGAAATGGAACTGCTTTAAAAACATAAATCAAGTGATATGTGTCATTCAGTTATAATAGAAACCCTGTTAAAACCGAAGGTGTGCAACTTTGTGTCCCGCTTCTGTTTCGTCAGCCACCCCTGGGAAACTGTGACCACAGCTGCCATGAGGAAATATCCAAATCCCATGAACCCCAGCGTGGTTGGAGTCGATGTCCTGGACAGACACGTGGATCCCAGTGGGAAGCTGCACAGCCACAGGCTCCTGAGCACAGAGTGGGGAATTCCCTCCATTGTGAAATCGGTGTGTATTGCGTCACAGAGCCAGAAAGGGATCCCTGCAGGGAAGGGAAGCTCATGAGCCAGGTGTTGTAATAGATGCGTATAATTTCATAACTTTAATGGTTTAAAAATACAAGCATTAATGTATCAGGAAGGCTCAACAGCAGTACACATAGTGACTTCCCAATAGCCAGAGATTGCCTGGATCTAAGATTGCTTCCACTAGGAGGATTGATCTACCTCAACTCAAGAGTTTTCTTTTAAGTTAAACCCTAATTCTGTTGTCTTGGTGTCTGTTCAATGCAATTATCACTACTTACACATCTAAAGGCAGGAAAAATTGCATAATTAATCCCATCTATGTTTGCCTGTCCTCCAGCTCATTGGCACCTGCAGAACAAGGACATATGTTCAGGAGCACTCAGTTGTTGACCCTGTGAAGAAAACAATGGAGCTTAAATCCTGTAATGTAAGTAGCTGTGTTTGTGCAACTGCAATGGATTACAGGGTATAACAGCACCTTGTGCATTTGAAAAGGAAAGTCATCTTAAAAATAACTTGAAAATTGCATTAGAATAATACAAGTGAAAGGTTTAAGTAATGTGGTTATAGGTGACCAGTTCTGTTTTTCAGGAAGGAGCTTCTAGGCTTTTGGAATTTGTCAGGACTGAAGCATCTGAACATACTGATGAGCAGGACAGGAGGACTTTTGGGGGTGGGGGTGGTATTAAAAAGAACTTTATTAAAGCCACTTGGTGTGTATACACTGTGACTTTTTCCTAATCATGTAACACTTTGCCCTCTGTACTACTCCATCTGTCTGATCCCACTGTGGAAATGTCCTTATAAATGTGGTAGCTAGTAAACGATCCAAAAAAATTAAGAGAAATAGATCAGCAAATGCTGAACTTGAAGATTTCTCTGTCTTGTTCTACAACCCTATACTTGGAGGAAAAGTGTAATGTTTAAATGCAATATAAGCATTAGTTTTGAAACTGGAGTTTTATTTGCTTAATCCCTTTAATATTTGTATCAAGGGGTAATCCTGTCTATTGCTCTACAGATTTCATTTACAAACCTCGTGTCAGTAGATGAGAGGCTTGTTTACAAACCACACCCTCACGAGCCACACAAGTAAGTACCTCTGTGCTCTAAAATTGCTCTGAAGTAGTACAGACTTTGCTTGGAAAATTTCCATGGTTTCCCTTGAACAGAAGATGAAGTTTATATGGCCTCTGTTATGGTAATTTTAAAAAAGGATTAAATGGACTGTCATTTCCTCCAGTGACACTGCTTCTGCAGAGCACCACTGGGACACTTCAGGTCATGCTGTAAAGGAGCCCAGTTCAGCTGTTCAGGGGGTGTCCTGTCTGTAACTGAGTCTGTACATCTGCAGTTTCCAGCCCCTGTTTCTGATGTCTCCATCAGCCTGAGCAGAGACTCTGTACTAGAATGCACATTTATCTGCCTTTAGTCATTAATTTTGGAGGTTTCTGTTCTGGTGGTTGGTTGGGTTTTTTTAAGGCAAATTTAGAGCTGACTGAGTCTGTACTGCTGGAAGCAGTGATAACTCTGAAGGATCATTCTAGGGATTCTGACATAGGAGTTTTTTTTCTCTCATGACTGTCAGAAATGTTAAATCCCTGTTGTTGAAGGGAATGTTTTTTAATACTGTTTTCCTAGTATTCCAGATCTTGTGTTTCCACTCTTAATGTCTTGCTGCTAAAGATGGAAATGGCCGAGTGCCACAAAGGAGCACTTGGACTTGGTGGGCACTCTTGGCTTTTATTTTATGAGTAGAAGCATAAACCAGTTCTGTGTTACACAACCAGGCTGGTGAGGAAACGCACTTGTTGGGGAGGAGTGAATTGCTTTCAGCAGTGCATTCTTTTTTAAACTACTCAGAATAATTCAGTTTCAGAACCATTCTGCTCTCTGTTTCAGAACCATTCTGACGCAAGAAGCAATAATATCTGTCAAAGGTGTCAGTCTCAGCAGTTACCTGGAAGGGCTAATGGCAAACACAATTTCTTCTAATGCTAAAAAGGTAAGTATGATTTTTGTGTAAAATGTGTTAACACTGGCTGAATGTCAAAGGGAATAAAAGCCTCTATTTTACTTTTTGGCTTTGTCAGCAGTCTCAGGAAAGGGCCGCATAGCTCTACTGCCTTTACTGCAGAGTCAATGCTGACTGAATGCTCAGTGTGGTGAACTTCTTCCTCTTTTTCCTCTTGTGAATGAAGATAATAAATTATTTTTGTCAAAGGTCTCTGAATCCTCACCAGAGAAAACATCTGCACTCACTTGACAGTCTGGCACTGTCATTATGCTGCCCTCTTGATGCTATCTATTAGTTTTTGCTGTTGAAAAAGGAAGTACATCCAGACAGATCTGAAGTACTTCTGTGGGAGTAATGACATGTTGTTTTAATTGAGAGTCTGTCCTCTAGGAATCCAAAGGTGTCTTGAGTTCAGCCTCAAGAACAATAAAACAACCCGGATAAAAAGTCTTTTGTGGATCATAATGTGAGCACTGCTGACCTAACGGATTGTTTTCATGAATTGTAAGGCAGAACATGTTCCTGCAGTACTCCAGTTATTGAAATAAAAAATACCAGAGGCATGTATTTCTGTACCTTTTCTTTTGTCATTTTCAGTAAGACAGGACCTAACCAATTTACTTCTTTATTAAGATTTATACACTGCTAAACTTTCCTTTACCTGCAGGGCCGGGAAGCATTGGAGTGGGTAATTAAAAGACTGAATGCTGAAATTGAAGAGTTTGCAGCTTCAGCAAGAGGAACCATGAGGAATTCAATGGCAGCAGCAGCGTTTGTAGAGAAATGATAGTACTTATACCTGTATCACTAACGAGGCTTAACAACCTGCAGCTTCTCTCCAAGCCTAAATACATGTATCCTTTGTTATTTAAAGGCATACCTGTGTATCAGGCACATTACAAATTTAATTTGGAGAAAAGCTGAATTCTTACTAAGGCTGAGGTTCAAAGGCTATTTAATATATTGGGTCAGCTGGACCGAATTTCGGTTACAGATGAAGAAATAATTTTCAAGTTTAGTTCCTGTATTTACATGAACACTAACTTAGAATGTTTGCAGATACGAAATAGCCTCACTTAGTGATGAGGCTGCACATGGTGGAGGACACTGGCATGTTAGGCTAATTTCTGTGGAACTTTTATTTTGTATGTGACTTCTGGACTACCTCTTTTGGGACCAAGCCCAAAATTAAGCAGAATGGTTGTTCCAGCATTGTTCTGTTTCTTGATTTTTGACAGTTGTGTGACACAACTCGGTTTAACAGAAAGCTTATTACTTGATGCTTGAAATACAAAAGAATGTACAAAATATTTTTGATAAGCTTTTTAACTTGTTTAACGGGGTGAACTAATATGGTACTCAAATTATTTTTCAGTCAGTGTAGGTAAAACATCAAATTGTCTCTTACCTACCAAGACCTACCTTCTGTTCCTAAATGCAACATTAATGAGCTGGGCATGCAGTACCTAAAATAAAATTTTATCTTTAACTTCTATAAGTATCTCAATTTCTAAAAGCTTATTAACTAAAGGGGTACAATAAGCATAGAGCCTTAAAATCTTGCAAGCTGCTACAATAGTAGGTGTTCCCTTCAAAGAACCAATTAAAGACAAAAAACTCCTTGTGAATTTAGCTAAAGAGTACCTAAACAAAAAAGGAAGTAATATTTAACAATATACATATTAATCTGATCACACTCCAAAGATAACGTGCTACATCAGCTGAATATTGTGTTGTCCTTTAATTTAAACAGTGTTCTGAGTTCCAGGTTAATTTGCTCACAGCACAAGGCTCTTTGTGTTCTCAAGGGTTTCATTAAATCTTCTACAGTTCTTGGTACTCATTGTATGTTCTTGGTACTGTCACCAGTCATTTGCTGCAGGAACTTAAAGGTCAGACCTTGCCATCCTTCCTTACATCGTGTGCCAGTCTGCTGGTAGTGCTGGTGACCTCAGCAGGGACTCTGTCCCGTGAGGCTCCTTCAGTGTGACAGAAAAATGCAAAGGCACAGCCCTGAATTAGCTGATGGTGGTATTTTGGTGCCAGAGGCTTTTCCTGGAAATTTGATTCTAATCTTACAAGTGATTTCAAGACTCCCTCTTAGCCTTTAAGAAGTGTAATGTCACCTGTCCCAGCATATTTTATTTTGCATGCCATTTCTGGTATATCAGGTTGCCTATTGCGTAGTGTCTGCTGTGTAGAGAACCAGAGGTTATTTTCAGTGGTAATCACAGGAGAATTCTTCTGTAATCACATTCTTCTGTAAGGTTTGTGTTGGGGGAAGAAAACAGGTATATAGATATATAACTTTTAAAAATTTAACTATTCTAAATATTTTTCTAAAATGAAGTTATTTGAGACTACCTTACTAAATTAAAGTCATTGAGGTTTGCCATGCTTTTACAGGAGATTATTACAACTGAAATAGCATTTCAATTTTTAAAGTATATGTGAAACTTCTGCAAAACTGTACCATCATTTCTGATAAAAATGCTTTGCTTGAAATTCATTTTACATGTTTGGTTAGCCATTACCATCACCTGATATTTTAAAAGTTTTTTCTTTTCCAAATTTTTCTGCACTAAGGGCTGCATAGTATGAACTCAGTTTGGCCCTGCACTGAAAAAGAACTTAAATGTTTAATTTTTTGCAGGCATTCAACAACTTCTTGAAAGATAATAATTTTCTTCTATTTTATTTATGTGCCTGCATTCTCATTCTGTCAGAGTATGGCTTTCTGTATGTGGCGCTTTTTAAATAAAATTTTATTTGAATTCTGACTAGTTCCTGAAACTTTCTGGTCTGTTTGGGTTTTATAATTACAAGGTGAGTAATCTAAAATAAGTGGGGTGAAGGTGAAGAAATACTCTGGAGTGAGTGGCTTCTTTTATTGAAATGCATATCCTGAAATGCACATTCACAGCTGCACATTTTTTACTTCTTAATAACTCTGCTTTTCTGCAAACCTGACACATTAACTAGTGACCACATTTCACAGTTTGCTATGGAAAATCTTTCCATCCTGTGGAAAGATTTTCAATCTACTTGGACTGAGATCTGTGATCAAATTCCCCGTGAGGAATGGGGGGTGCTATGGATGAGTGCACCAGTGAGAGTGACCTAAGGCAGTGCAGAGAACCTGTGGGTTGTGGGGGTTGGAAGGAATGGAGGAGGTGGTGGGTAAGAAAGGATCTACAGCTGAAGGGACAAAACTGAAGGATCAGGAGGAAGGAAGTGGTGGGGGGGAAAGGGGAAGGGACACGAGGAGCAGAAAGGGCAGAGGTGGATGAATGTGGGATGAATAAATCAGTGGTGTGGTCTCTTATCAATCCCTCTCAACCAATGGGTGTCAGCACCTGTTCAGTCACCACAGTTAACTGTAAATGTAAAGTTGTTTGCTTTGGAAAAAAGCAGAAAAAACTTGAACCGCCATTTCCTACAACATTGCTGATGTGTCTGTTGTGGTCTCTACTTGCAGTTAAGCTGTGCAGTCTAGCACCTTTCCAATAAATGTCAGTGCTAAGTAAACCTAAGCACCCATTTTCTAGTAACTGGAACCTTTTCAAGCCACTGACCCTGACAGATGGTCGGTTCAAAAGGAAGGTCAGCAGTCTGTGGAGGTTCACGTTTATGGAAGAATTGAAGAGTGCTGATAAAGAGCCCTTGTGTGGAAGCACTGAGTCACTTCAGAATCCTTCCCTTTCTGAAGGTGAAGGGTTTTCTTTTGCTTGCACAGGACCTGTTATTTTCTTTCTTCAATAATTTGACAGCTTTGCTTTATTTGTTGCTGTAGAACTAAATTATTTGAAAGGTAAGGTTACATATCACAACTGAGCTGAGCTAATTGCTTACCTTCATAAAAGGAGACAATGCTGTGTTTGCCATCCCTCTTGCCTGGCTGTGCTGTCCTACTTCTTCCCTTGGTCTTCACAGCCTTTGTTGACCCAAGTCAACTTGTTGAGCCAAAAAAACATGACCCTGAGAAGTGATTCAGTCTTTGTGCAGCCACCAGCAAGTACGGTGAGATGCTGAAAGAGGAGAAATGTAGGAAGCTATTGGGTGGGCTGAAATTATATTGCCTCTGCAATGTGTATTACAATAATTTCATATTGCATCTACTAGAGAGAGTATTTGATGTTATTTTAACAGTAAAAATTATAGCTCTGTAACAGTACCATTGTTAAGTTAAAGTCTTCCTTCTCAGACATGTATATTACAAAAAGTTCAGCACACAATGGCTTTTACACATTTTCTCCAGAACAGTCTGACAGTCCTTTAATCAAAAAGTTTAAAAACAATGAACTAAAAAAATAGTATCAGCTAGATAATATACATATAGTCCAGCTGAATATATCAGCTAGAATATAATGAAATGACCAACATATGTGGTATTTTCCTAATCATATACCCCATCCTTTTAACACCAAATTAAATGAAACAATTGCCCTTGCTGTGAACTTTGATGTGCCTAGAGCCTGTTCAACTTGTAGACGCCTTGCTAAGAAGTTTGTTTTCTACTATGGCAAGTAGCAATATTTGAGTGAGTTCTTGTCAACAGTTTTCTGGGGGACCATTAATGTCACCTGAGTGTTTTTTAAACTTTTATTCAATAGTAGCATCTACTGTGGACAAAATGTCTTACGTTATCATGCTATTCTGTCATAACCACATTTAAAAAGTAGCATAGCCAACACAAGTCAATAAACACATTAAAAGAGGAAGTAATGGACAAGATTCTTAAAACTTGAGTGTACCTGAATTCTGCTCTGCAGATCCTGGGTCCCTCCACAGACTATTTATGCCAGATTTTGTAGAATGGACAGCTGAGAACTTGGATGACACTGCAAAATTACTTTTACTTTGAATCCAGGTGTCCAAAAGTTAAAAAATAATATCTTCATCTGCTTCATCAACTAACCTCCAAAATATTGTCCTGTAGTAGGAAACAGCACAGAACTGCAACTTTACCTTAAATTAGAGCTGATTTTAGGGTGTGTTTTCTGCTGATGCTCTGTGCAGAGTGCTGTGCTTAGCCAGGAGATTTACCAGGAGATGACCCGCATTGTCATCAGCATGGCACGAATTCCAGTGGCTGTGGAACAGATTAGGGTCATCAGCAGAAAGAACAGCAGAGCTTTACCAGCACAGCCCAGTATGGCTTACCCAGGCAGAGAAAGGAGATAAACCCACAGCTACCCAAGGTAGGAAACGTTATTACTGACCTGTACATTTTATACAATGGTGACCATAATTCCATGTTTCTTCACAGTGTTGTTTCATAGGAAAAAGTGCAATAACTGTGTCTTTTTCAATGAAGACAGAGGGAACACAGTGAAGAGATTATGGAATTTATAGTCTGTTGGACACCGGCTTTTTGTTGAATTGTAATTTGCCTTTTGTTTAAATATTTGTTCTCCCCTATAAAATGCACTTGAGAAACTTCTGAGATTAAAGATAGTCACAAAATTATAGTGGTTTTAGATAGCAAGGGATTTTTAAAGGCTTAATTATTTTTATGTTTTATTAAGAATACAGGGCAGCAAGCAAACCTGTAATTTCATCATAAACTATGCATGTTTAGAAAAATTCATTTGGTTTGCCTTTTGATCTATAAACATTGTACTCTTGAAAGAATTGCAACGTTTTTGCAGAAGCTGTAAAATTACAGAAGCATTATCAGTAAATATTAAATGTACTCAAGAACTTTTTGGGGTCTCATCTTTGGTACCTAAGGTGCATTTTTTTTTTTTTTTAAGTTTGGTAATTTTAATGTTTGCATAGTAAGACAGGGTTCAACTTCAGCCCCTGTTCAGCAGACACCTGCTCCAGTTAAGAGGTGACCTCGGTGGGAGTGCAGCCGTGGTGATTATGTTAAATCCATTACCCACGCATCTGGACACTGCTTGTGTAATAACAGGGGCAGAGCTGGGCTGTGTTCACCTGCAGCTTTCTGAGGGACCACTTTGTTGGTCCATAAAATATGGCTGTGATGACTGAGAAACTTCCTGTGCTTTCCTGTGCCCACAGAGACACCAGCGGGTTTCAGCTCCGCTTTGCAGCACAGTCTGGAGACGAGAGAAAGCAGCTGTGGATCAGCCTCTTGACCTACTCATACTATAATTAGATGCACCTTCATGAACTGAAATTTAAGCTGTTCCCTTTTTAATCGTATGTCTGTCTTCCATCACAGTTTCTCTTTAGGATATTTTTATTAAACAAATCAAAAATTACTGTTATTGTACCGGTTTTATGTCCAGATTTATTTTCATAAAATCAAAGTAACAAACTAAGACCACTTTTTATCTGAAAAATAAGTAGATTTAGAAATGTGTGTGTCTTGGACATAGAATCAGTTTAGCATACTGCTGGCTTCCAAAAACAATCCTGCACATGCTGTGCAGAAAAATATTGTTTTCTTTGCCAGTTTCGTTATAATCATCAGGAATATCCATATTTTTTAGTTGATGTTATGAATCAAAAGGAAATAATCCCTCATATCTTTATAGTCAGAGGCCCAGTTTGACTTGCTGCCCTTTATAACTGTGTATTTGTTTAAAATCTCTCTCTGCAGCCAGTAAGCAGCCTCAGATTTGATTATCCCATGGTATTTGGAAAAGAAAAGCTAAAGTGTTTTAATTTCCATTCTATTACATAACTATTACTTTATTCCAGACCTTCAGGACAGGGAGATGGCATTTGACAGGAGGGTATTCTTTGTCAGGCTGTCAAAGATGCTAAAATCTGGTTGAAGAAGGACAGACATGTTCCCATGGTTCGCTGGGAAGGAGCAATGCTCTCACTAAGTCTGTGAGCTCTCATTACTGGAGCTTTTCTGCACCAAAAGAGAAACCACTAACTAAGCACACAGTTTAAATCTTAATTTTCAATATAAGATCATTTGGGGTCATGCTGTCTCTCTGTTTTGTTTTGGTGTGTTAATAGAGACCTTTAGTTTAAAATACTCCTGATTTAACAGCAGTCATGTTCCTTGGCTTTTCAGTATCATCTCTTCAACATACCCGGACCTACTTGGTCTCACTTTTTTGGCCTCCCTGGACCCCTTCAGTGTCAAGACTTCAGCCTCCTGGGAACTCTTTAAAATCCCCTTTTCAGATTCTTTGGATTTATCCAGTCTGAGCTCTTCATCCTCTGTTGAGTTCTCCAGTCTCACTTCATCGTCTCTGGACCTTTCAAGTCTCCCATCTTCAGCCTCCTCAGATTTCTCCAGTATCTCCTCTTCAATCTCCTTAGAGCTCTCCAGTCTCACCTCTTCAGATTCCTGGGAGCGCTCCAGTTTCTCCTCTTCCATTTCACTGGACCTATCAAGTCTCACTTCATCAGGCTCTCTGGATCAATCTGGTGACAGTTCTTCCATCTCCTTAGATCTCTCAAGTGTCACCTCTATATCCTCCACAGATTTCTCCAGTCCTACTACTTCACTCTCTCTAGACCTCTCCACTCTTACGTCTTCGTCCTCCACGGATGTTTCCAGTCACACCTCCTCAGCTTCCTTGAACTTTTCTTGTACAATCCCTCCATCCTCACCAGGCATCTCAGAGAACAGCTCCTCAACCTCTTCAGAGTCAATAGACCTCACCGATTTTAACTATTTCCTGTTTCAGCGCTCCTCTGAATTGTCCTCATCGACCTCTCAGGATGTTTCCAGTCTCATCTCTACACCCTTTCTGGATGTCTCCAATCTCACCTTTCAGGATGCTTCTTCCCTCACTTCCCCAGTTTCTATGGACATGTCTAATCTCACATCCTTAGTTCCCGCAGACCTATCCACGCTCACGTTCCTGGATGTTGCTAATCGCAACGCTTCGGCTTCCCTTGATCTCTGCATCTAACCCCCCTAACACATCCCCTCTCCCTGCAACCTCTCTCTGTCTTTCTGAACTCTCCTCCTTTATGTGCTCTCTCCTAAGTTCTCTCTGAAAATTCCTATCTGAGGAAATTTTAGGGCTTTCCAAACATCTCCTGGCATCTGAACAGAACTGGGCATGGAAACAGGTCGTACAGATCTATAATGGTGCCTTGTAACAGCTGCATGAACAACAGTATATATTCTGCATTTTTTGTAGAGCACAGTTTCTGTCCCTATCTGATTTCCAGTCTGCCTCAGCATGGCTGGTACCTCTCCCAAAGGTTAAACTTTTTCAATTCAAGCCGAATTTTCATCTATCAGGACCAACAAACAGTAAATAGAGCTGCATGTGCAAATAATTGCATATCTCCATTATGGATTAGTCATATATCTCCATTATGGATTTAAATCTGAGTTAATTTCACAGAATTGCAGGTGGAGGCATTTCACAGGGAGGTACAGAGAGAGAAGATAATTGTGGAGAAAAAAGCAGGTGAGAGACAGGAGGTAGGGAGAGGACTCAGAGAAGGTGTGGGGCAGGAATAGAGGGACACGGAGCTGGAAGAAAAATGTCCAACACTGCTACTTTGGCCTGGGGTGCCCATGAGGCTTAAAATAATCTTACTGCTAATTATTTTACCTATCAAATCATCAGATGTTGCTATTAAAGCAGCATTTGTATGTAACATCCCCTTTATCAATACATGTAAGTACTGCAGTTACCTGTCTTGCATCCAATGTGCTGCTTAGGTAGCAGAGAGCGGCTTCCCTTTGGTGCTGTCTTGTATCTTTTTGTTGTCACTGCTGTAGTTGGGGTTTAGAAACCAAAATATGTTCCCTTTAAATATCTTAACATTGGCACCTTTCTGTGCTAAAAGGGCAGAAACATATTTGTCATAGCAAGTATTTTTTCACTGATTTAATTTTTGCAAGTTGTTCCAATATGCCATGTCTGTCTCAAAATTAGGATAATTATGACTCATACAAAAATAAATAAGGAAATAAGTGCATGAAATAAAAATTATTTTCTGCCTCCTTTACACTAGTTGTTTCTTTAAAATTAAGTACGAACACTTGCAAGACATGAATTTAAGAAATTAACCCCAAATTCACTAGGAGCAGATATGTTTAGCAGTTTAAAAAAAAACAAAAATCACAGGTTATTGGTCCAGATCTTACTGTCATATGCTGTCCTGCAGAAAGACTGGAAGATATTTGGTGAAGAGTTGTTCTTTTTGTTCTGGTAACTCTGTCCTGACATTACCATGTGTCGTTTGTTTATTGCAATGGTTCTGGACTAAATGAGATCTCTAATAAAGTTGAAAGTTACTCTGTGCTTTAAAAATGGTTTGTCTCTGGACTGACGGAAGCAAGAGAAGAGGTATGCAAAAGTGAAAGGATTTGTTAAAAACCCAATATATAATCTCCTTAAGTCCTTAATTATTTAAATGAACATTAGGTTAGGACCAAATTGATCCTTATCAAACATCATTAGAGTCTTATAATAACTTTTTGCTTATTATATATGGAAAATTGTCTATTTTTCCATTGTGTCAACAGCTGACAATAGCTTCTAGTTTGCTATGTCATCTTTTATGGATTTGTTTAGAGCAAATGACTGGATACGATTTCAGCTGTTTGCAGTCTTACACCCAGAGGAACCCCATGGCAAGGCACCATGTCCAAAGGGGTAAAAAAACCTCGGAATTGAAGCCAGTCTGCTTAAAAAAAAAAAAAATCAACATTGGTTCCACATGCCTGTAAATCGTTTTCTTTCACCACTTCATCTAGAAATGGCACAGAAGGGTAATGACAACTGATATAAGCTGCACAAAACATCCGTTTCACCACTTGCTTGGATTCTTAGATTTTAATGGGACTGCTGAGGAACGAGTTAATGTGTAACTAACATAAGCGCTGGATAACTAGCCATTTGCCTCACAGAAGACTTGGGTTTTAATTTCTGTCCTTTAATTAATTGACGTGTGCTGTGTTTCTGGCGAATTACCATCCCTGAACCACGGAACCCCACATATTCACTCCCGCTATTTTGGACAGCGAGGTCACACCTGGAGGCGAAGCCGGGACCTTCCCAAACCGGGATGACCACACGCCTTTCCCAGGCAGCTTCACCGGCCTGAACTGTGACACCTCAGGGCGACACCGCCATGGCCCTGCCCACCCCTCCCTCAGGGCCGCGGGGCCGCCCGGCCCGAGGGGAAGGGGCGGGGCGCCCCGGGCGGAAAGGGCGGGAGTCGAGCGCGGCGGACGGGCCCTCTGATTGGCCGATGGAGGGGCGCGTGGGCGGTCCTCTCGCGCTGATTGGCCGGCGGGCCCGTCCCGGCGGCGCGCGCTGACCTTGCCCAGAGGAGCCGCAGCCATGGTGGCGTATTGGCGACAGGCCGGGCTCAGGTACCGCTGTCGCGACAGCGCCGCGACAACGCCGCGGCTGTGGGGGTGGGGGGCTGCCGGGGAGAGCTGTCAGCGCCGGGCAGGGAGGGCTGGCGGGGTCACAGCGGTACCGCTGCGCGGGGAAAAGCGGGTTTGGAGCCGGGAGGATGCGGATTTGGGGCCGGGGGAAAGGTGGGCTCGGGTCTGACCTCGCTCTGTCCCCCCCTCCCCAGTTACATCCGGTACTCGCAGATCTGCGCCCAGGCCGTGCGGGCCGCCATGAAGCCGCAGTACAAAGCAGAGGCGGAGAGGGCGGCGGTGGCCACGGTGAAAACGGTGAAACCCAAAAAGGAGTGAAATGTGAGTGGGTGGGGCGGGCCAGGTGCGTGGTTGCAGCTTTGTAGTGCGGGAGAGTGATGGTCTGTCACTGCTGAGTGCATTAGTCCCCGCTGTTTGGGGAGAATCAGCTCCGACCTTCAGGCACGGAACTGAGGGGGTTGGGACTGTCAGTGTCCTGATTACGTGTGGAGTGGAAAACGGCTTAATCGCATTAGTGCGGTGGAGTGAGGTGTTCTGCCCAGCAAGCCCTGCTTTTGGGGGTTTGGTCAGGCTTTTTATGGGCTCACACAGAGCAGCTGGGGCTCTGTAGTGATGCCCGCAGGTTTCCATAGTGATGTGCACTGGTCTGTAGTGATGCTCAACTTTCATATTTCCTAAGCCAGCAGACAGCCTCTCTGAACTGCTGTTTCCCCTGATGAGCTGGCTTGTAAGAGTTATCTGCTGTTGGTGAAAGATAGATGCTGCTTGTACCTTTATTCATGGCATTGCATAAATCACTAGCAGCTGAAGTATCTTCTGTTCTGAATAGAACAGCTTCCGTTCCTGATCTGAAATTAAATATTATTACCTTTTGTTTCAAGTGTACCTTATACATATTCGTGATTCAAATAACTTGAATAACTTTATATATACTCTCGTAGGAACTGATCTGTGCTGAATAACAGCAAACTGCAAAGCTGTAGGAAAGCTCAAGACTCTGCAGCCTGATGTCATCACATCAACTGTAAAACTTGCCTCTGTATGTAAATCAATATGCTAATAAATGTAATGGCTGAATGTGTGCAAAGTGTCGTTCCTCTTGAAACAAAGTTCTTCATTTTGCAGAGACATTTACTTTTCACTTATGTTTAAATAAAAGGCTGTTTTTATCACAGTCTAACATTCAGTAGCAACATCTGTTTATTCTTAAGGCAAATCTCTTGTTGGGTTTCATGCTGATATTTCAGGTACGTAAATGACTGGGAAATTTAATTGTTTAAAACTTTTCTGCCTACTACATTTTAATTATTGGTTTGGAAAAAAACGTTTTCTTCCTTAAAATCTCTGTCAACAGAGAATATAGGGATATAATTTCAGTGATTAAAAGGACCTCTGATGGCTCTATCTGATGGAAGAGGCACACTGTTGGCTTTAAGGGAGGGACATCCCAGTCCCAGTAGAGATGGAGGGTGACATTCCACCTTCTCTTGGCTGTGGGACAAAGTTATCCTTTCATCTGGTTTGGGGGAAGTGTTGTAACGTTCCTACTTTGTGTCTTCACATTGTCCCACTGCAGAGGAGGAACTGCAGCTTAGAATGAGATTCAGGGTCATTCCCTTGCACTGAGCTCAAACATGAAGCATTACTCTTCAGAGTACAATAAACTTTCACTTCCAAGAGTATAATAAAAAAAGTTCCCATTTTTTCCTGTAATTCGAAGTTAGTCCTTGCAAGAATAAAATATGGGGGTTTTGTCTATCAAATGTTTCAAGTATAAAAAGTATCTTACAGAATGGTATATATTTTTTATTAAAAGAATATTATAAATACAATGTTAAGTAGAAGGCTGTGGCAAGAAACTTTTTTTCCTGAAGTCAAAATATGGTTTTGATTTAGTGATTGCCCTGAAACTTATATCTAACAAGCTACAAACCATTCTATCCTTCTTGTTGTTCTGAATGTTAGGGAAAAATTTACAGTAGTTAGTACACAGGATTAAAAAAATACCACACCAAAACTTTTACACAGTGTCACAACTTTGTGTGCTAATGTAACTCAACCTATAGTTTAAAACAGAAATAAACCACACCATGATAATGAATACAAGCTCTGCAATAATATAAGCCAGCAATGTGAAAGAACTATTAGAAGTACTTTAGAAAAAAAAAGTAAGAATGTACATATTCAGTCTTTTGCCCCATCTTGTTTCTTCTGCCCTCCCCCTGCAACTCAAGTTGCTGAACTTGTCTGCAGATCTATATCAGTCTGTGGAGTGACAATAAAACAGACACTGCCTTTCCAGACCTTACAGATATGCACGTGTTCCTAAAACAGTTACAAGTTCACAATCAAGACAGGTACTGTGTTTACCTGAGAATAAATAAATGTGATGAGTTGACAGCGTATTTTGCTGTTGCTTATAACCCTGGTATATATGTACACAGGCACAGTGGCTGTATAGTACATTCAGTATCTGGTGATTATATACTAAAAGTGAATAAATTTACAAGAAAGGCTGTTATGAGACAACTTGTCTCCTTTTTGGGAGCGATTCAGTGTCAACAGTTGTTTAGGAGAGTAAAGCAGAGATGCCATTAATTTCAAAAGCACTGTGTTGTAAAATTGGAGCTATTTGACAGATGCAGAGAAAAATTCTGAAGAAATGTCTAATTTTTGGCTACTGCTTTATCTTTAGTGAATGTCAACAGGCTTATTCAGAGTGTTTTGGTACTGTTTTTACGCTGCTTCCTTTTCTGGGCTCGCTTCCACTTCCACCTCTTCGAATTCCTCCACATCTGCAGTGGCATCCTGGTACTGCTGGTACTCAGACACGAGGTCATTGGTGTTGCCTTCTGCTTCAGAAAACTCCATTTCATCCATACCTTCCCCAGTGTACCAATGGAGAAAAGCTTTCCTTCTGAACATGGCTGAGAACTGTTCGGAGACGCGGATGAAGAGCTCCTGGATGGCCGTGTTGTTGCCGATGAAGGTCGCTGCCATCTTCAGGCCTCGGGGGGGGATGTCACACACGGCCACCTTGACATTATTGGGGATCCACTCCACGAAGTAGGAGCTGTTCTTGGTCTGCACAGACAGCAACTGCTCATCCACCTCCCTGGTGGACATCCTGCCCCTGAAGATGCAGGCCACGGTCAGGTAGCGCCCGCGGCGAGGGTCGCACGCTGCCATCATGTTGCGCGCGTCGAACATCTGCTGCGTGAGCTCTGGCACGGTGAGGGCTCTGTACATCTGGCTCCCCCGAGCTGTCAGTGGGGCAAAGCCTGGCATGAAGAAGTGCAGGCGAGGGAAGGGCACCATGTTAACAGCCAGCTTCCGCAGGTCCGCGTTCAGCTGGCCGGGGAAGCGGAGCGAGGTGGTGACGCCGCTCATCGTTAGGGACACCAAGTGGTTGAGGTCACCGTAGGTGGGATTGGTGAGCTTTAAAGTTCTGAAGCATATGTCATATAGAGCTTCGTTGTCAATGCAAAAGGTTTCATCTGTGTTCTCTATGAGCTGATGGATGGAGAGGATGGCGTTGTACGGCTCCACGACCGTGTCGGATACTTTGGGTGAAGGCACAACACTGAAGGTGTTCATAATCCTGTCGGGGTATTCCTCCCTGATTTTGTTGATGAGAAGTGTGCCCATACCTGAGCCTGTACCACCACCAAGAGAATGGATGAGCTGGAATCCCTGAAGGCAGTCACAGCTCTCACACTCGTTCCTGACCACATCCATGACGTTCTCAATCAGTTCAGCACCTTCTGTGTAATGGCCTTTGGCCCAGTTGTTTCCAGCACCTGAATTACCTGTAAACAGAATTACAGAAAGAACAGCCACAAAGTTAACAAGAGACTTTTTAAAGGCTACAACAAAAGGAGATCAAAGCCCATTTTGGGCCAATTGACTCCAGTTAGTTTGCTGGCAGCATGATGTACATACCATGAATAAAGTTGTCAGGTCGGAAGAGGGGGCCTATTTTGCTGGACCGTACACTGTCCATCGTACCAGGCTCCAGGTCCACCAGGATGGAACGGGGCACAAATTTATGGGCTGGAACAAAACAAAGTGAATGCAAATGATTACTGTTAGAGGTCAAAGAGACAGCCTTATGATCTACTCTGAAAAGTCCAATCCACCTATAGTGGTTTAGGTTTTTTTGAGGGGTTTTTGATTACAAATTGCTCTGCCAACACCTGACAGTGCTGAGCACTCACAGAAAGCCTCATTGAAGTACACGTTAATCCGCTCGAGCTGCAGGGGTGAATCCCCACGGTAGTTTCCAGCGATGTCAATCCCATGTTCATCACCAAGCACCTCCCAGAACTGGAAAAGGAATGATGTACAACACACTTAACAAAGATTTATTTATTTTCAGCACACTCTCCTGCTGCTCTCATGCTGCTCTCATCCCTGATGGGAACTGTGCCTGAAGCAGGGGATATTTTGCCATTTATTTATTAGATCAGAGCAGGGATCCTCATCTCCTCCTCCCCAAATAAGTTCAAGAGAAAAGTTTAGTAGGCTATTTATACTGCTTAGCTATCACCCACGCACTAATAGGTGGAGGCCCTCAATTTGTTCCCTTTATAGTAAAAAAACCCCCATAAAATAGTGTAAATAACAGAGGTAGTAGTTGGTATGAGCTTAATAAAAAGAGTCATGGAGGAGATGGATTGTGGAGGGTTGCTTTGAGTCCTGTCATGCACAGGTGTGAGTGTGGCATGGCAAAGCTGCACAGGCAAATTTGTACGTGAGCAAGGCTTTCCACAAACAGCTGCTGGTCCTAAACGTCCTATCTTGACGCTCATATGTCTTGTGCTGGGGCTCTTATCTAGAGAGCAGCCACAGCGGTGTTCATGTAGACACACCCACCCACTGTAATGACCAGGCTACTTTAACATTAAAGGTCTGCTGGGTCAGCATCCAGTCTCATTTTGAGTGTCCAGATACATCATTTCCAACATGTGCATGGGGGGTGTGTTCTTTTCTACAGGTCTTAATAGACATAAGCATTTTGCAGGTGAAAGCCAAAAAACCCCCACCTTTTACCTCTCACACTGGCTGCATTCAAACTAGCTGGGTCTAACATGACATTCCCTGGCCATCCACAGCTTCATGTTCCATTAAAAGAAATCAAGGTGAGATTTGTGGGAGCAAGAAATGGAGGAAGAACACAACAGAGCAATCCCTGATAATTTTTTTTACTACTTCCTACTCATAAATAAATAAAAAGATGAACATCACAGCGCAGAAGCAATGGTGATTTTTTTTTTTCTCCTAGCATGGAAAGTCAGCAATAGTGACTTCTCTCTAAGTAACAGTATTGGAGTGTTTGAACTACACAAAAATGCTCCAAATTACTTCTGCCTGTCACAGGAGGCCACTTTGTGTCACTCTCAGAAAAAACTAATTGGTCACTGAGAGCACGGGTCATCCTGTTTATTAATGAGATCCCATATGACCTGTAAGGACCCTTCCAACCCAAAGCATTCTATGATATTAATAAATACAATGTGGCAGTTACTGATGCATGGCTGAGCTAAAGTACTGGCATCACAACTTTGCAGCCCTTGACTTACTGGCTCCACCACTTGTCCCAGTATTTTGCAGACTAGATTAGTTCCCCTGGGAATATGAGTCCCAGAAGGAATGCTCTGGAGCACCTGTAATCACTGTGCCATAGTTATTCCAGATGAACATTAAGCTTTGAGAAGCAAGCCCATCTTTTGCCTTTCATACCAAAATATTCATCCTCCTGCTAGCACGCCACTGAATTCCCAAAAGTCCCCATGGTTGGGGATGATGTTTGATGATGTTTGACCCATTACCACTGACAGTGAGGAGCAATGTTGAAAGGAGACCTTACCTTGGCTCCAATTTGGTTCCCGCATTGCCCAATCTGAAGATGCACAATTTCACGCATTTTGTGGAGCTCGGACCTGCTGGTGGCCACAACCTCTCACAGGTTCTCCAGTTGCAGTCCCCAGAACAAGCCCTCTTTCTGCTGCACTATCAGCTACACCCAGCACAGCCCATCCCAAGGGGCCTTCTTATATCAGAGGGAGTGTCACTCAGCCAGAAGGGGAGTAGCCAACTCCTCAGGCTGCTCAGCATTTCACAAGGAGGCAAAATGCCTGTTTACTGCCTGGGGACAAAAAGCACAGGTGCTTTTCTGAGTGCCTTGGAAAAGAATATTGTCACATGCACCCCCTCACAATTAATTCCAGATCTCTGCAGCAGTGTGATGCATGCATTTATGTGCACATCCTATTTGTGTTTCATTATTTGATGTTATACACAATATATATACAAATATATGTGCATATATAGAGATTACAGCCAAAAATGAGTGATCTTAATTTATTAAGCACATGCTGTTCTGCCACATAATTTAAATTTTAGCATCATATGAGTCATACGGGACACCACCCATATTAAAAACAGTAACAACTTGTGAGCAGTAGCTTCCTATAACTACAGCATTCAGCATATTGCCAGGCAAAATCGAGTTCACTAATAATCATCATTCCCAGTGTCTGACTGCATGAAGGAAGGGGACAGGATCAGGACCAAAAAATACTTTGTAACACATAAATGTAAGACTGCACTCTCAGTGATGCATGTTCCTTAAACAGTTATGAGTATCCCCCAATTTCAGCCAAAATCTGAATTAACTTGTGACTAACTTGCATAGATGCTCTCTCTCTTCATTTTCTGTCATTAAGAATTACAGTATTTCTAATATTTCTTATTTTCTTATATCTGAGATGAGCTTCAGAACTTGCCAGGAAAATGCTAGAGGTAAACCCCCAGTTCCACTGAAGTGAACTGTAATGTTCAAAAGGAAACAATGCGAGGGGGAGCAGAACACAACCCAGTCATGTTGCCTGCTGATAACCAGGACCAGTATCACTGAGCAGCAGAAACCCCAGAATGGACTGTCAGCTGGAACTTGGAGCAGTCTCATTACATGTCAAATGACTGTCACTGCTTTGCAAGTGTTCCTTTTAAGGATGGCAAAAGGAACTATAATTAGGAAAGCACCTCAAATTATTTTATATAAAATGGTGACAGTGGAAGAACTTGACTCATTGAAAGTTACTACTTTACCACCCTGTGGGTTGCTAGAGATAAGGAACCTCTGCGCTTCTATATTGTTTCAAAATCAGCTTATTCCAGACTTCCCCCCCACCCTTGATGACTTCCACTTCTCCCACCAGCCAATGAAGGAACAGACAAGTGCTCCTAAGACAGAGTTTAGCACCAAAAGTCCATTGCAAAAGAGCGGCAAGCAAACATTTGTCATCCTCTGCCGAGCTATGAGTATCCACAGTAGGAAGCCACAAAAGCAGGACTCAGTTCATGTAGATTAGTTTCATTTCCTTAGAACGTAATTATTTCATCATATTCCAGAAGATAAATATTCTATAAGCCATTTAGTTTACTCAGCAAGATAACCAAACCATTCTGTTCTATCGCCACATTTTCAATATATCCCACAATGGCAGTGGGTATCTTCTAAAATTTCCTAAGAAAATTCTCAAAAGGTTATTTGGACATTTACTTTGAAAGCAAATCTCATTTTATTCATGCACATATTTGTTTTCTCCAATGATCTTTAGCTAAAAGTAGTCGTGCAACTCTGAGCTGTGTATTCAATTGCTGCATTCTGGATGGGAGCTGCATCGACACCATGTGTCAGAGAGCTGCTGACACTAAATAAATACTACTCAAAATATGCAATGTATTCATCTACAGTAGACACAGCTTATGGAGAGGCTGAAGAAGCTAATTCACTGTCCAAAAAGTTTGGCAAAATAATTTCTGCAATAAATACACTGGCTGAGCGCATCTACAAGGAAAGGGAAAAAAGGGAAGTGGAAGAAATTTGCAATCACTTAATATGGGTTTTTCTCCTGCTAGAAATAGCTCCCTGAAATCATGTGCCTCCTCTGAAGCACTTCCATATAGAGTCTAAAAAATTATGGCACACGACACCAAGTACCTGGGATGGTTTGTGAAGCGATGTGGGTTTGGGGCTCTTTTACCCCTTCTCCCCAAATGCTTTTCTGTGAACCTCCAAGCCTGGCTTTACCCAAACGTGGTCTGTGAGGAGCCTGTTTCTCTGTAGATCTTGTTGCAGGCCTGTCACTCCTCAGCCCTGGGTAACCCCAAGCCTGTTAACTCCCAGTGCACTTCCCAGGCCCAGCCACCACACATGTGCTGCTGCAGATTAGCAGGGGAGCGTCCGCAGGGCCAGAGGGAACGTGGATGGGCTGACTCCAGGGACTTTTGGCACTGTGGAGATTAGGAGCAGCCTGGCACTGGGCACAGCTAGTACAGCCTGGTCCACAGTGTCCATTATCAGGCTGCCAACTGCTTCCACTGCCTTCAGAGCGGGCCCCAGATACCACAGCCCTGGCCATGGGCTTAAGCTGAGACCACAAACAAGCCAGGTTTTTGTGGTTGCTGGGCTTTTTTTGCTGTTGTTTCTGATTTTTTTTATTGTTTTGTTGTTTCTTTTTTTTTTTTAAGGCTACCCACTAGCAACAAATATGCCTGCGCAGGAAGGCATTCTGGGATACCTTTTGTGGTTTAAATATGGTTTGCTTGGGAGGAACTGGCTTTCCAGAGTAACCAAAAAGATTGTTGAGAAGAAAGCCTGTTCAATTTGAGATAGGCCTGGCTACAGGACACCAGATAATTTTAAAGAGATCTGTGACCGGCTACCAGATGAGCTGATGCAAGTCTCAACTAACCTGGGCTGGCTGCATCAACCTTAGGAATGATACCAAAAAAACATGGCATTCAACAGGAATAAAAAGCACTTCACATTTGCATTTCAGTTAGTAAGTAAAACTATTTAACCTGCCTTGCTGTGGCAGGTGGTCCAAGGAAATAAGGCCCACTGTAAGTCATCATCAGTGTAATGAGCCCGTGTGATTAAACAAATAGCTTTTGGTACAACCACAGTGGAAGACTGAGCAGTTCATTACCTTCCTCACACTGCAGATCTATGACCTGGCAAAAATGTGAGGCTTTAGCACGTGAATTCACCTGCTGGGCAGTGCCCTTACCTGGGCACTACTGCCACAACCACTGTCTCTGTTGAGTTTGGAGTGTTTGGTGAGTTGCCAAATAAATTAGCTGCCCAGCAGTCAGGCTCCATTCCTGCTCTGCTCCAGGCTTTTTACAAAAGTTCTGAGAACTGTGGAAGAAAAGCTACGAGGCGAGAACTGTCTGTGGTTTACTAAACTTGTTCATCAAACATGAAAGCTCCAGCTAATGTATGGAAAAGAGACTGCCAGCCCACTCACACAGACATTGGAACCTTTTGCAGGAAAATTAGAAAAGTGCTTTTACTATTGACTAAATCTTGTAACACATAACAAAGAATCTTCAGGTGTCCTGAGCCCTAAAGAACAGCCTAAAAATGGCAGCCTTTGCAAATTGTAGCATTAAAGGGCTTGAAGAACTCAGAACTCATGACTAACAAAAAAACCACAACCAAACAAAAAGCCCCAGCCTGCTCTCTGCAGTGTCATAGTTGCTGGTCACAGTCTGGCACAATGCTGAGGTGTTTGTTAGGCCAAAGGTAGAAGGAACCTATAAGCCTGTCCGAGATACGAGTCCTCTTGTCACAACCCCCGTGATCAAATTGCTTCACTTTTGAGCGCGTGAGCTGGAGACTTCCCGGGGAGGGGCTGGGAACGCGGGGTCTCGGGTTTGTTCCTCATCCCAACAGATCAATCAGCCGCCCTTGGGAGGGGCTGAGGGAGGCTGCCCTGGGCATCCTGGAGCGCAGCTTCTCCCTGGGAGGGGGCGATACTCGCAGACCGAGGATCCCGGGGAAGGGTCCACGGCCCTCGCCCACCGCAGGTGAGCGCGCCCGGCCCCGCCCCGGCCCCGCCCCGGCCTCTGCCTCCTCCCCTGCATCCCAGTGCCAACGCAAGTCCCAGGAAGCTGCCGCTGGTCCAGCATGGCCACGCGGGTCCAGCCGCTCCTGCCCGTCCTGCTGCTGCTCTGGGGGGGCTGCCTGTGCCCGCCCGTCCGCGCCGGGCTCTACTTCAAGGAGGGGCAGCACTGCTACAAACCAGCCCCGCGCAAGGCTCCTGGGCTCAGGTGAGCTTCGTTCCCCCGTTTCCCCCGGGGCTGGGGCAGCCCCCGTCCCCGCTGGAGCTGCCCCCCGGCCACCCCCTGGAGCTGCCCCCTGGCCACCCTCTGGAGCTGGGACTGTCCCCCGTCCCCTTTGGAGCCGCCCCCATCCAGCCCCTCCTCGGAGAGCAGCCCGGAGGAAGGGCTGGCCGGGCGCAGCCGCAGCACATGGAACCCCAGCACATGGAACCCCAGCACCGCCCGGATCGGGGGGTCCCCGGCGGTGCGGGGGGTCCCCGGGGCCGATCTGTCCCCGCCGGGGTTGGCGGGGAGGGGGGGGGACACACGGGGACAGAGTCGGTCACGAGACCGCGGGGCAGGGCCCGGTCACGCGCCGCCCGCCGGGCACTGGTTACGAAACTCGGCGGAATCCGCGTTTTTTAAAAAAGAACAACCCCCTCACCTGGCTGGGGATGCCGGCGCTGTAGTTCCTCTTCCCTCCCCGCCGCAGGACGTACCCCCGCCCGCACGAGTACCTGGATGTGTCGGCGCTGCCGCGGAGCTGGGACTGGAGGAACGTGGATGGAGTGAACTACGCGAGCACCACTCGGAACCAGCACATCCCGCAGTACTGCGGGTCCTGCTGGGCCCACGGCAGCACCAGCGCCCTTGCAGGTACGCCCTGCACCCCCTGCCCACCCGCCGGGCTGCCTGCGCCCGGGAATCCGTGGTTTTCGGGAGGCCAGGGCAGCTTATCTTCACGTTACTGGCAGCTGGTGTAAGGACGAGGTGCCAAGTCACTGCAGCAAAAACGGGGGCCGAGATGTCTGTGAATACACCGGGAACAGTGGGAATGCCCAGGCCGAAGGCAAGGAGGTTTGGTTTCTGTAGGGAAAGCAAGTGGAGCGAGGCTGTCCAACCCTCTCCAAACGGTGCGAGGGGGAGCACTGGCATGGTTAGAAACCTGTTTGCAGAAGGAATGTGTTCACAGCTCCTGCGGGTAGGAACTGGGGGTTCTGCCTTCTCCTCCATGGCAGCAAACCCCCTCTCCTCCATGGCAGCAGCAGATGCACAAGCAGTTCTTGTGTCTCCCTCCCTTTTGTGGTACCTCAGCCTGTGCTGCAGCTGCAGAACAAGAAGTGCTCCAGCCGTGCCTGCGAATGAGGAAACGAAAGAAGTTGCCTCTTGTGGGGAGGGCCTGAGGGGTATTTGCTTCAGGAGCCCAGTTATTCAAACGAACTATAACAGCACACAGATAATCTGGTTTCAGCAGCAATCTTCGTATCAGCCTTCTGCTTAGGAAAAGGGAAGTAGTGGTTTGCTACAGATGAAGTAAATTCTCTAGAGAGAACACATGATTTACATGCTCCACAAGTACTGTTTGCATAGGGAGGCTGTAAGAAGATGGACTGTGAAGGATAAATAGAGGAAACTGTGCAGAAAGGGGAAGACAATGCAAGTGTGAGCAGACAGCAGGAATCATGAGGAATACATTCTTAAGAGGTACAAGAATTCAGATGTGTGATAGCTGTCAGAATGTAGTGAAATACTAGGATAGGTAAAATACAGCAACTTGTTAATTATATAACTTTGGTTAAAACTTAATATGTAATGTATGCCAACATGTAGTTTTAAAAATCAGGGTATTTTTTTTCTTAATTGTTGTGAGTAGTTTAAAGCATTCATTCCTTTTTTTTTTCTTCATTAAGACTAGTCTGGCATAATAGATCCCAGTTCTGTCAAGTATATTTGAATGTTGTTAGTACTAATAGGATTACAAGTACCAGGGTGGCATAGTTAAGACTGTTAATGCAGGGTGAGAAGCAGTTTATAAATACCCATCAGGAAGCTTTTCTGCCAAGTAAGCTGATTTCTGACAAAATAAGGCAGCAGGGTAGCAATGCCTGTCTGAGATGGCAGGATAACAGTGAGATGTTGGTGTAACAGCAAGGAGCTAATTCTGAAAGCTTTTCCTTGCTTTAAGACTGTCTCAGAGCCAGTGACTTGTGTGGGCTTATGGCTGGCTTGGGCTTATGCATAAATCTCTACTCTGTGAGAGATGCTGGTGAGAGCTGGTTTTATGATGTGTATTTGAAAACTCTTTGCTGTCAAAGCCAGGAAACAGATCTGAAGTTTTCAGAAGCTTGAAGTAGAAGAGGTCTAGGGCTCTTCAAGGCTTTAGACAGATCTTACTCATCTGCGTATTTTTGATGAGTTTTTAGTGGAAAAAAAAACCCCTTCTAATGGAAACCCCCACTAATAAGTCAGCCTCTGGTTTGAATAGGTCATGCTGTGCCTCAGTGCTGACAGTGGAGGGTTTTGCAACCACAAGTGCTGTTGTCTGCAAACAGCTACAGGTTCAAAGAAAAGGCGACAGTTCGAACACTATTTGCAAAGTGTAGCCACCCACATATTCCACTCACAAACCCCAATTTCTTCTCTTTACAGACAGAATCAACATAAAGAGGAAAGGAGCATGGCCCTCTGCCTACCTCTCTGTTCAGAATGTCATCGACTGTGCTGATGCCGGGTCCTGTGAAGGGGGAGACCACTCTGGGGTCTGGATGTACGCCCACGACCACGGCATTCCCGACGAGACCTGCAACAACTACCAAGCCAAGGACCAAAGTACAGTGCCTTTGCTTTGCTGTACGACTCCTCTCCAGGTTTAACAGATCTTAGTATATTTAAAAAACAAAGAGTTTATTGGGTTTTCAGAATACTGGTTGCTGCTGTTTGACTGACAGAACAGGTTTTCTTTACAGGCCTATGTGTGTCTCTCCTTACTCCAGACAGAGTAGCACTAAAACATGCCCAGGCAAGTTTGGACAGCTAAATTGTTTTAATTTAATCTCTTAAATCTGTGACACACAATCTCTAATGTACTGAAATATTTACAAGTGTCACCTCAAGCTAAACAAAGAGAAATTTAACCTTTGTCTGGTCATGTATGACTGGAATGATTTCTCTGTCTATGGAGAAGCATGTCCTCATAGAAGCACTCGTGTGTACGGACTAAAAAATAGTAACTAGAGATAGCAGGGACTTAAATTGTGGTTTTCAGAAAGGTATTTAGTTCACCAGAGAGAAAATGTATTATTAATATCTGCCTCACATAAGTTAAAAAAAACTTAGGGTCCTATCATTAATTCACTTAAGAAAAGCACCCTCCTGCAGTGATAATCTCAATTCTGTTTTACAGAGTGTAAGAAGTTCAACCAGTGTGGGACTTGTGTCACTTTTGGAGAATGTCACGTGATCAAGAACTACACTCTCTGGAAAGTTGCTGACTATGGGTCTGTCAGTGGACGAGAAAAAATGATGGCAGAAATCTACACTAATGGGCCAATTAGGTAAAAAAGAAAATGTTTATCTACAAGTAATATTGGGGTAAAAATACCTGAAGCTCAGTCTAGTGACTGCAGTGTAGTTTTCCACTAACATATGTGAGCAGCTCTGCACTGCTGTGCAGACTCAGCTTGTTTGTACATCAACTGAGCTCAGAATTCAAGACTGTTTTGTAGCCAGGCCCCTGCCCTGATCCTCTGCTATAAAAACTCCTTTCTCTGCTTTAATACAGCTGTGGTATCATGGCTACTGAGAAGCTGGATGCCTACACAGGAGGCCTCTACACAGAGTACAACCCCTCTCCCACAGTGAATCACATCGTGTCTGTGGCCGGCTGGGGCGTGGAAAATGGGACAGAATATTGGATTGTCCGGAACTCGTGGGGTGAACCCTGGGTAAGGAAGCATGGGAACAAACACATTTGTAGGATCACTCTGGAGGGAACGTGGGGCTTTTCACTTCTGGAGTAGAAGCTGCAGAGCTGGCCTGTGGATACAAAACCTAAAATTTTTGAACTAGACTAACGGTTTAAAAATTAAACTTAAATAAGCTGGAGACAAGGATATTGATCCAAAGCTACATGATGTCAACTCAATCCCAAATTCTACCCTTCTGTGCAGCTCCTGTTGTGGGCAAATGTAAAATTACTTTAGCTGTAGGCAAGAATCAAGTCACACACCTAGAATGGACGAGTGGGATGTAAATCTACCAAAGCAGTGTTATACTTCCTCTTGAGTGAATGCCTACATTCACTTATAAATAATTCATATTTGGAAGACAGAACAGACTCAGTAATCTACATTTTCTGTAGTTGTGTTTTCTAATTTACAATGCAAATTCAATCCTTTACAGGGCGAAAGAGGGTGGCTGAGAATTGTGACAAGTGCCTACAAAGGTGGGAGAGGAGCAGACTACAACCTTGCTATTGAAGAGGACTGTACATATGGAGATCCTATACTTCCTTGATTCTATGTTGTACAGATTTGTTTAGGAACTACTTTGTTTGGAAGCTTCCCTGCACAACCTTTTTTTGTCTAAGACTCTCTCACAGTTCCACACCATCAGGCAGTTCTGCAAAATTAGCCCAGACAGCACCACACAAGTGCTTCAAAAAGTACAGGGCTGCCTTGAGATAATTATTTACAACTTAATTTGCCCATGAAAGAGTTGTCTGTCTTGATGCACAGTATTGAAATCAACTGTTACTAACTGGCACTGTTACTTGCATTTAATAAACACTTTTTCTCATAACTGACTGGATATTTATTATAAGAGCTTATTAATTCCTGTGTTTGGTTGTCTCCCCCCTGTTGTACTTAAGTTGTCTTAGGTCTAGACCAGCTGCCCAAAGCTTATCCAGGATGTTGCTGCTTTTACTGGATTTTTACTTGTGAAAGGCCTGATTGACAACAGTCTGTACAGCAGCAGAGTTCAGAACCTAAACCACTGGCTGCTGTCTCAGGAATTGTCATGGTAGCTCAGAATTCCATAAATGAATAATGAAACTTTGAAAGATATCTCTGGAAAAGAAAAAACACCTTTATTTAAAGGTAATTCATATTCTTGGGTGCATCCCCCACTGTTTGGCATCAACCAGGACAGAGCAGAGATAATTACAAAAACAAAGCCACAAGCAGCAGTAATGAAACTTCTGCACACATTCCTCTTCTTGGACAGCAGTGGAATTCTGACATGGTAATTAAACTTACCAGTAACATCTGATGCATCTATTTACCAAAAAATAGATTCTGAAAGGTAACACACACATAGATTCATCTCCCACTAGAAAACTATCCTTGATTGTTACAACTCCACTTGTGTTGCACAAAACGGGTTTTCTCATAGCAGATATTTAGAATTCTAATAGAAAGCAAAGGGGAGAAAGAGGCATTGGGGCTTCTCGGCTGCACAGAGGTAATCACACAAATCCCTTTTTTTACAACTCGAAATATCAAAGCCTAGAGCATTCGAGATGTATTCAGAGAAATATCTGCAAAGTGTTTTTAGCAGGAACTACCTTCCCCATTCTTCAGGTTCTGGGCATTACACAAAGAATGAGTGCCAAATTCACTAACAAAAATAACGTTCTTTTAAACAAATCTTTTTCTCTCTTGCTCTCCCCTTCAGAACATTCAGATTTATACTCATTTGTGGAACAACAGAAAATCCTTCAGTATTGTTCCATTTGCTAAATTACATTAACAGTTCTCTGATAGGAAGTACAAACAGTCCTCTGACAGGAACTTCAAGGTCACCACACAAGTCAATCAAATGCCCTTCAGCCCTTTCCTCCTTGTTTTATGTCTGTTAGTTTTGTTGGCTTTGTTGTTGTTTTCTTTTTGCTGCAGCACTGCCCAGTTACAGAACCTTACTGATGGAGAGCATGGCAAAGTAGTGATCATGTGCTCTGCAGTCTTGATACTTTCCACTGCTTAGTTCATCATAATAAAGTTAGATTTGCAATGAGCTTAAAAAGAAAAAAAAAAAAGAGACAGTGTTCAGTACATTACTGAGTCAGTGATTTATCTGCTTGCATGTGGATTTCTGCATTATGTAAATAATTAGGATTTTAGGGTCTGGAAAATGTTTTTGTTTTAGGATAGGAGGGTATTATGACAGAATACAGTGTGTTATGACAGACTACTTCCCTTCCTCTCCTTTCCTTACTGCAATGCTAGTTCTTAAAAAGCAGTATTTATCTCCAGTTTCTCACTACTACCCCCAGATTCTTGATTACAGGAAAATTGCTAAACATAGGCCCCTAAAAGGGAAGTTGTCTGTCAAAATATCTGGCAGCAATTTTTAGCAATCCTCCTCCTAAACATTATTTGCAGTTGTAACATACACAAATGGAAGGAGGTGTGCAAGGAATAAATGGACTTACCTATGAACTCAGTGACAGGATCATGTTCACCTTCTGTTTTTATAGTACCTGCAATACTTTCGTTCTCCAAGATTGGAAGAAAAAGCTGTACAAAGTCTGAGGTATATGGAGGAGCAATCACATCGAGCACCTGAAACAGCAGACAAAATCAGATTACTCTTCCACTTAGAGGGGTACTAGGGACAATATTTAATTCACATACTAGTCTTGAAAGCATACAAGTACTTGCACTTAGGACCTCTTGTTCTCCATACAAATAATTAGCTATGTATTCTTGAGGTACTCTGTCCAGTACCTTATTAATTCCAGAAGTCAGGAGTTAGTAGGACTAAGTCACATCCTTGCGAATACTGATACACATACATTGCTCAGAATCTGATCTCAGAACTTGAAACATTTCTGAATCCAAGGCAAGCTGATTTAACATCCAAACACATACAACCAATATTAAACTTTATCTCTAGATGTCAGTAAATGCAGTTTTTGCCGCTGACCTCTGTCACAAAGTATCTGATGAGCGAGATATCCGTGTCCAGCTTCTCCAGGCATTTGCGGATGTAGCTGACAACGGGCAGGACGTACCCTCGGCTGAGCAAGTGCACCATCCTGTCCAAGAGAGTCTTCTTCAATTCCAGCTGGTGGTGCAGGGAGGGAAGAACCAACAGATCAGAACTTTCTCTCAGAAGCCTGTGATTTTTATTGCTTCAATATCTGATATGTTACATTTTAACCATGACCACAGTCCTAAACTAAGCTCTTCAAACTGCTCTGACAGCAAAAGCCATTAACTTGAATAAATGTAACTAATATGAAGGAACACAAATACTGCATCCTTTGAGAGTCACCTGCTCCATCACATCCAGCTGGGAATGTTCTGTTTCAAAGAGCTTGACAAGAAGTTGTAGGACTTGGGGATGAAGCAGCTGATGGCATGTACTGATCTGCAAACAAGGCAGCAAAGTCAGATGCTCAGAACTGCAATTTAAAAACCAATGCAGCAGTCTTTATTAGACAAGTTTACATTGATGTTCAGTGCCAAATGGAAATTCATTTAGAGAACTATTCTACCATTTCTTTCTTTGATGTCCAAGTTTTCCTAGTGTAAATAATGCTGAGCTGAAAAAACCAAATAATTAACTCTGAATAGATTAATCTCTGTATAATTAGTGACTTACTGCAAACAACAGGCATTCAATGGACTGGTTGTTACAAGCATCGAAATTGTTCTTGCTCTCCAGCAAAGCTTTAGATACATTCTTACCTCATCCAATAGTGCCAGGTGAACTGGAGTGTGATCAGTCTGCAGCTGGAAGTATCGTGGTTCTGACACTGTCCAATCCACCCACTTCAGCACACCCATAGCCACCACTGGGAACCTACAGAAAGAGAGATCACTTCAGCACAGGAGCATGAAAAAGAAAGGAAAGCTTTACTAGGAAGACAAAGGAATCTGTCACCTTTTCCCAGTGGCACAGAAAAGCATGTTCTGCGACCCAAGGATGATGAGTTCCGTGTAAAAGGCAGGATTTATGTCCTCATGAGAGATTCCAAAGAGTCAGATGGACAATTCTGAAAGCTGCTTTCAGACCACATCTTCACATATTCTACAGCAAGGATGCCCTCACAGAGTAGCCCATAAAGACATCTCCCTTTAGCAGTACTGCCTCTCCTAAATAATACTTTTCTTCCAACAACTGAAGCTTGGGACCAGCCTCTCTGCTCACCTGATGCACTGATAGAGGGTGCTCAGCTCTGCAACCAACTCTGATGCTCCTTTGTTCTCATTGCAACACAGATTGTGAACAGTTTCGATGGCTTTTGAAGTTGACTTAAGTTCGTCCTTGTTTATGCTGACTCTCTTGTTCTGAAAAATTATTGCAAAGTTTGAATGCAAGAGTTGTGAATATACTTTTATGGTAGTATTTGATCATCAGGTTCTACATTCTTTAGTCATGTCAGTTGAAGCCAGAAACAGTTTATATTCAAATAAGTAATGACCACACATTTCCTGCAGCACAGTAAGGCTGCTGTAGGTAAAAACAATGTTATTCACAGGGCTGAGCATTACCTTTTTCCACATCTCTACCACACTGGCTGCATAAGCCAGTATGTGAATATATTTATGTTTGTGGTCCTGGTTGATCTTAGCACCTGGCTTAAACAAGGACTGCATGAAGAGGTCCAGAAAGGCAGGTACTCGAATCTGTGAAGAAAATGAATTGTCTGTCAGAGCCTGAGAATTAGGAGAGGTGATTAAAAATACGGTTTTCACATCTGATATATCTCACATAGAAAGAGATAACACAATATCCCCTTGAGAGTAGGTTAGACAGTTTTCTGAAGAGACCCAAAGTTTTACGGAAAAAAATAAAAAAAAGGAAAACAGAATTACAGACTATATTGCTAAAGGATCTAAATGCCATCATATTTGTTACCAGAATCCATGTTAGAATGAGGCAGTGAGAAATATGAAATGTGTCATTTAGGCCTGCTTATAAGAAACTGCAGAAGTGGGCAGGTTTTTGATCAAAAGATTTAATTCCTTGCCATCTTTATCTCCTCTTGCAAATACCTTTAATTTAACTATATGTAAATGGACAACTATGAATAATTAAAAAAAAAGCAACAAAAAATACCAAAAAGGTAATGCAAAACAGAATACAAGTGGCAGTTTCACATTTAGACATTACTTACAATTATAGAGGGATGAGTGCTAATGTAATTTTTGTGTCCATACAACACTTAGCACAAGAAGACATCACGTTTCTGAGTGCTACTGCAACAGAAGTAAGTATCATAGGTTATAAACAGGTAACTACTAACCAGTTCTACTGGAGGTGGGTCCATGCTTGTAAACATTTTGAACAGGACAGTGATATCTGCTGGATTCAGAGCTCCTTTGGACAGCATTGCACCAAGAGCCTGACATGCTCGGGGATAGGAGGCTGCAGTACCCAGTGCTAGAGTGATCTGACTGGCATCGTGGCCTCTGCATGAAGAGCAAACACCACAGTGACTTATTTTCTTAATTCAGCGACTTATTCTCTTAATTCAGACATTTTAGTTTAAGCCTCACTGCGTCAACAGACCACAGCTTTTGGAATGCAATGCCTTAGGGCTGAACCCCTTGTTCTGGGTAATTACAGAAATAGGCCTGTATGTTTGTTTTTAAGATGTTCACAGAATAGTAAAAATACATATTTCTTAATAGACAGAAACTTCACTTCTTTGCTTTTCCAATTTCAGGTCGCCCTGGTACAGGGCACTGAACTTTTCTGCTGCTCTACAGATGAAAGCCTGCTACAAGAGCTGCTGTGTTGCAGCTAAGGATTCTCCTTTTGCCAGTAAAAGGTAACTAAGATGAGCAAAAGACAGCAGTTTGCAGATTCTGTTGACTTATATTTTAAATAATAGTGTACCTCCCACTTACTTCTCATGGGCGTATCGCTGCACCTCCTGAGCGATCCTCCTGACAGCCGACCCTCCCTGCTCCTCCTGAGCCAGGATGGACATCATGGACTGGGCAAAAAGGTAAGTGTGTTCCCCATGGCACACCATCTTCTGTGAAAGCACACAGCACAGAGCTTACCAGTCAACAAGGAACTTCCCAGTGTGCTGCTGTGGTTACATTGTCGTGAGAGCGAAGGGCAAAAACAAACGGCAAAATTGCAAAGAAAAAAAAAAAACAAACAACACACAAAAAACTAAGCAACAAAACCAAAAACCCAACAGCCAAGAAGAAAGTGCTGATAGAATAAAGCATTGATACCAAGCACGAAGAAATGGCTAAATTGAGAACTTCATTTCTTAAATGCCAAAATTGAGAGGGAAATCTCTTCTACTTACACTCGGTACTTTCTCTGCAGTAGTTCAACACTACAAGAAGTACAAAGCCACTCAAAAATCATCAGGTTATTTCACAACATATGAACATATGCTGGGTTGATTCAGATGGCAGCTTTCACATTGATGTGGATGATAAAATAATTATTGTAATTTGCCAAGGGTCTGACAAGACTGATCTTAGCATTTCACATTAAATGTGAAAGACGACATTTCTACCTTCACCTTTTTACAATACATTTAATAAACATAAGAAGCATCATAGAAACAACCCAAGGAATTCCTGGTCACAGAACAACCAAAAAGCACAGATTTCTGGGTTTTAACTCAGATACACCTTCTCAAGATTTTGTAGGAAGTCAAGATTGTGTATGATCTCACACTGATCTGTATCTCCTAACCAGAAAGGAAAACACTTCTTTTTCCACATAAAAAGGAAAAAACCCAAAACCTAAAAAACCCCCCCCAGCAAAGACAAACAAACAAAAACCAAAAAAACAACTTACAGCAAACTCAGGGAGGTTTTTTTCAAGGTTTTCTTCTCCTCCATCCAAAATTGTTGCCAGAGATGTACGCAGGACTCTGGAAAATACTTCTAGTTGCTGACATGCTGTTGAAACACTGGTTATTTCCCCTTGATATCCAGCATCAGATATAAGCTACAAAAACATCACAGAAAACTTGTTATTTATATTTCAGATATCCTAACAAGTCTAGAAGAACACACAAAATGCAAGATTCCCCTTGCATACACTTATTGGAATTACATTCATATCATAGTTTACAGAAAAGGAAACCAATAAAGATGTAGCAAAAATAAAGTAAACTATAATAATATAAACTATTTCAGAGCACAGCAAGATATAACATTTTTTGTCCCAGAAACATACAGAAGTGACAGAAACATTCCACTGCACCAGAAACCCAGGATTTTCAAATACAGATCAAAGGGAAAAAAAACAAACAAACCAAGCAAAAAATTTCCACAAATATGAAAAAAAAAGGAAATAAAAGCCATACTCCAAAAAACCCTCAAAAAGCAGAACTTCAAACTGGGAAACCACATGTAATTGCTTGCAACCTATAGCACAATTCCTCCCACCAGTAAGTTCTATTAGCAGGAATACATAAAAGACACAAGCAAGACCACAGCTAATATTTGAAGCCAGAACAACTAGCCCTTTATGAATATTCTTATTTATTAGACTTCAGTGTAGTACCTTCACAGTAAAATTAAGCATTAAACAGTCAGGATGGGCTTCTGCCAATTTGTAAAAGAGATCTCTCCACGTTGTATGTGCTATCATTTGCTCAAGCCAGGCTGGAGTCTGGAAAGATTAGAGGAACAGAGAGAAACTTAACAATATCTACTTGTCAAGATCATTAAAAGTAAGGCTTTTACCTCTCAGGAGTCCTGTGAGTTGTTCTACAAAAATTTATTACAAAGGATGCCTTCCAAGTTTCCAAGTTCTCTAAACCTCTGAGGACTCCAGTGAGGCAGAGCTGGTTTTCTGAAACCAGTTTTTTCTTAACCAAAGAGTTTTGAAGATACAATTTCCCTTTCCCCACCATCTGCTACTCCATCAGATGAAGGCATTTAGGGAGGACCCACTCGAGTAGAGACAGCAACATGGATTCCATGCACACCTCTCCTTCCTCTGTAAAGATGGAATCTGCTTTCCGAGGGTCAAAATGCTTGATAAGTAAGCTCTTTAAATGGTTTTCTACAGTCTCCTGAACTTGCATTGGCTCAACACCTGTACAGAAGGAACAGAAAACTTGGCAGATGCAATCCAATCGAACGTGGCAGCAACATCTTACATTTTCCAGTGAGAACAGAAACTACTCCCAAATTTACCAACACAGAGAGGATCAGAGGAGAGACATCAATTCTACTACTGAGCCATACCGATAAAGACAGACCTACAGATTCTCCACCTTTATTCCTAAATGTTTTGGATGATAGGCAGGTCACACTAGTCCCTTTCTCTCACCCTCCTCATCAGACACACAAACAGCAATGTCAGCCATCCCAAAGGACTGGTACTGGGTATGATACCACAATGCAAGTGTACCTTAACCACAAAAGGGATCAGCAGGGCTGGGGAACAAACCCACCCCACTACAGACTAAAGTTCATCCTTTTAATATACTGGCTATCAGTAGTTTTGATAGTATTCTACAAAACAATATACATACAGTAGTAAGTAGTTCTAAATTTCTGAACTCAGAGAATAGTAATTCTGGTAATTTGTAAACAAAAGTTTACACTAACTATGGGACAGAGACACCACAAGATAATGCTGAATATGTCTTGCAAGAGGCTTAATATGTAATTCTTGTCTCAGAGAATACAGGTTTATATGAGAACCCTTAGTGTAACCATTGATGCACTGAGAAGGAATAGTAACTAGCAACAAGGTAATTGTTTTTTCAATTTAAATTATTTAATTCTATTACAAAATATCAAACATTTCTAACACTATCTATGTAATAGTCCCCTTGCCCTTTGGGTGAAAACAAAAAGAAACTATCTTATGCAGCTGTTTCAACTATAAAAACTCTTTATAACACAGCCTGTTGGCATTTCAAACTGTTCATCAACAGATTACTTCATTATTCTCTGAGCAGAATAAACATATTATTATAAAGGGTTTAGCCACATAGTAGATAACAACTTTATAACAATCCATTTCCTGTATATGATCAAATTTGCCACTGATTCAGATATTTCTGGCAAAAAAAAAGACTATAGACCCAAACTATACTGTATCACTTATTGTACCTGTTTGAATGAGCCACTCTGCCAGCAAATTCACAGTTTGTGCCACTGCAGTGTAGTTTTCAGAGAGGAGCTGGATTACATTCTCTGGAGACCCTCCTGCTTGGAAATATCTGGTGAAAGGATTACAAAAGAACTATTTGAGTCATATTAAAAACAAAAACCAATTGAACTCTAAATAAAGGGAAAACAATACACCATTTGTACATTTTCACATGCACTTCCATACAAAGTGACAACACCACACCTCTAACACACATAATGTGCTCCATAACACACTTTGTGTCACACTCACCTCTTCAACGTGTTAAATATCGACGGTTCCATTATATAGTCAGGGGTTGAAAACTTCTTCAGGCACTCTTGCTGGACTTCAGCATCATCTTCTCCCTCCCCATCCTCATCATCTTGCTGTTCACAGAGTCAAGTCAAACCCCTCTCCTGTCCTGTCTCCCCCCATACTATTTAAGCCACTTTTTCCCACAGAAACACCTTGGTTCACCACCACTGCTCCCCTCACAAACAGAGCTTCTTAATGGAGAATCACAGAATCACTGAGGTTGGAGAAGACCTGTGAGACCATCGAGTCCAAGCTGTGCCCGATCCCCACATTGTCACCCAGCCCCGAGCACTGAGTGCCACGTCCTTGGACACCTGCGGGGATGGAGACTCCAAACCTCCCTGGGCATCCCACTCCAATGTCTAATCACCCCTGCCGTGAAGAAATTCTTCCTAATGTCCACCTGCCCATTCCTATGTCTAATCACCCCTTCCGTGAAGAAATTCTTCCTAATGTCCAATCTAACCCTCCCCTGGCGCAGCTTCAGCCTGTGTCCTCTCGTCCTGTCGCTGGTTGCCTGGGAGCAGAGCCCGACCCCCACCCGGCTACAGCCTCCTTTCAAGTGGTTGCAGAGAGGGATAAGGTGACCAAGTTTTAGGTTTTGCAGCTGGATCCCTCCCTGTAGCCCTCCTCCAGCCCCAGGCCACACCGCCCGCACCGGCACTGGGCGCTCCTCGCCTCAGCTCGGGGCCGCAGAGCGGGCGGGCCCGGGGGCCGCTCTGGGACCCGCCCGGGGCTCCCCTCGGCCCCGCTCCCGGGGCTCCCCCGGGCTCTCACCGCGCCCCCGTCCGCCTCGCTGCCCCACTCGGCCGCGCTGCCCTCGAAGTAATCCGCGTCCTCCATGGCTCCTCCCGGCTCCTCCCGCAGCCGGAACGGGCGGGGCGGCGCCGAATGGCGGCGGGGCGGGGACGGCGCGGCCGGGAGGGGCGGTGGGGGGAGCCCGGGAGGGGCGGTGAGGGGAGCCCAGACACCCTCGGGACGGGGGCTCGTCCCGGGCATGGCCTGCGGGAGACGGGCGGGACACGGTATAGTCTGGGGGAGCAAAGTCAGGGGGGAAAAGGAGCCCTGCCCTGCCCTGCCAGACCTCCCAGCGCAGCGACAAACGGACGGGAATTGCAAGGAAAGAGGGGAAAATGGGATGTGCAGCTCCATGGGATGTGTTCTCCATGGGATGTGCTGCTCCATGGGATGTGTTCTCCATGGGATGTGCTGTTCCATGAGATGTGTTCTCCATGGGATATGCTGTTCCATGGGATGTGCAGCTCCATGGGATGTGCAGCTCCATAGGATGTGTTGTCCATGGGATGTGCTGTCCTTCTGGCTGCAGCTGGGTAACAGCAGTTCCCTCCCTCGCACTTTGTGAAGTGTGAAAAGGATGATGAACAACAGCAAGTTGATAGAAATAATGAAATTTATGGTAGAAGGGGAAAACTAACAAGTGGGGGGGGGGGGGGGAAAGGAAGGATAACTTTGAGGAACAAAAGTGGTAAGATCTTTAGGACCGGATTTTAATGATAAAGTTTGAGGCCCAGCATGGGTGTAGCTCTGATTATCCAAAACTTGCCAGCGAATAACATTAAGTAACATTTCTGCCTTTTCTCATTGCATTTGAAGTGTTCGGGTGTTACTTTCAGTCTAAGAAAAAATCCTGAAGTCTTTGATCTGAAAAGAAAAAAAATAGTTAAAAAACTAGGACTAGGAATTACAGACAGATGAAGAGGGGCTAAGTCTAAAATGAAAACTGATCACAGAATGTGGCCTCAGGCAGGAGATGGGCATTACTGAGACCATGTGACAGAAACAGAGTCCCTTTGTCTCTCTTCAGATCCACTCCTGTTCTTCAGTTGTATAAGAGCTTAACTGTGAGAAAGGGGAGGGTGAGGGTGTGTTCTGGGATTTGGAGGGCAGCCAAGAGCATTGCTGATTAATCATTTAAATGGTCCTTTATTCTCATTCAGTTTCTAACTGAAAACTAATGAAAAGGAATTACATTGTCTTCCATGCAGTCCATGAGTAGGAAAAGCCAAAAAAAACCTTGCTCAGAAATAAATTGTTGTAGGATCTTCACAAGCCATGGTCCTTGTTCAGGTGTCTGTGCCGATCAAAGGATTTACTGCCCGTCAAGTTTCAGTGTAGAAAATGTGCAGCAGCACCCGAACTGCAGCACAGAGCAAGTTGTGCTGTCATGTGCTGCCCTACAGTGGTGAACCAGCCCTTCCCGAAACACTGCTTCAACACTGGTGTGAGCCCAGGATAATGTTCTTTTTGCTCTGCCAAAAGAAACGAAAAGAGACTTTTCCAGAATAAAAAGCATGGATTGAAGCAGAGGCACAACAGACACATTCCCTACCTGTGCCAGACACTGCAGTCAGGGAGACAGTGAGGGACATTTCAACACCTGTGCAATCACTGGGCATTTTTTATGAGGAACGAATTGGGAGTGAGGTGACAGGCTGAGGCTGGAAGCCAATGGAAATATCCTTGAGAAAAAGTTGTTGGCTCATCTCCATTTAGTTAGCGGGCAATTTCCATCCCGTAGACATGAGGAAATAACAGTGGACTCGGAACAGACAGTGTGATTAACCAGTCAGAGCTCCTAAGAAAAATCTGAATTTATCCTAAAACAAGAAAGAAAAAGTATTTTCTGGGAGTCTCATAAGAAACATCTATACACCTCCTGGGCTTCATCAGCTCTTTTTTTTTTTTTTGGCTTGTAATGATGCTATAAAATGTGTAATTAGGTGTAGGACATTCTCTGAAGGTGATTTCAGAGTAATTGTTATAGTATCTTAACAGAAGGTTCAGAAAACTTAAAACTGGAGAAAAAGCAAGGCCAGAACTTAACTAACATTCCAATGAAAATGGATGGGAAAACCACACGGCTGAGACTTCCTGAGGCTTAGGAGGAGATCTTAATTCTTTACAGAAGGTTCAACTAAATACAGTTTCTATGACAGATGTTTTTCTACAGGTAGGAGAGGCTTCCTTCCCATGACTGGAATTTGCTGTGCATCTCCTGGGTAGGATATCTGGAGATATTTCATTGTGCCCAGAGCTTATGGCCTAAAATTGTACATCTAAACCTCACAAAAAAGCATTTTCAGAGCAGGTAAAATTTTTGCTGTGACAACAGTTGGACTTGTAAGACTTTGATGGTAAATATGCTACAAAACTTCCCACTTAGTTGGGAACAGTCCACAACACCAACTGCCTGTAAGAGATGTACTGGGATTAGACATTATTGATACCAGTAATTTCAGTGCCTGAATCTTAAAACTGGAAGTTTTAAGTTTATGTATTTATCTCTCTTTATTTTGATTGCAGTAACAGAAAAAGATTTATTATTTTTTTTAATATATAAAGAACAAACAATACTCAAAGCATTTACTTTCAGCTTTCCTCAAGGAGAAAACTAGGGATCTGTAACAGCCAGACATTTGCTGAATAGCCCTTTGCAGCATTGCAATATCCAAGCTTGCCCCACTTCAGGTCCACAAACAAGAGGTAAAATCAGATCAAACCCAACAGTTTCAAGGTATCACTTACACTGTGATGAAACATTAAATGTACCAGAAGTTGATTTTGCAAACTAAACTTTTACAACTTTGAATGGAAACAAGGTTGTCTTCTTGGGTTTAACTGTGTTCTCCCATATGGATTTGTGTTTTACAAAGTTTCAGTGAAATGGTCATAAATAAAAGCACTTAGATTTACCTGAATGTCCCTGCAAGATTTTATTATTCCGCAAATCAATGGAACAGATTTTTCCCTAAATGCATTATTTGAGTACATTTTGTGTGTAAAATGTTCTCGAGTCCCAATTCCCATCTAATGAGATTTTGATTAGGCAGTGGTGAGGCAGAGAGCAAATCTTGAGATAAATTTTGAGACAGAGATAAAATTTTGAGCCCAATAAATACCCCATGAAGGGCAGTCTTGGTGTCTCTGCATGCTTTGAGGAAGCAGTAAAGGCATTCTGGGAAGTGAGTGTGTGAAGAGCCAGATCTAGAGAAATAGGGAAAACTACCTTATTTTTTCTCTTTTTTTCTTTTTCTTTTACCTTTTAAAAAAACCCACAAAACCCCAACAAACAAACAAACAAAACCCAACCCAAAACAAGACCAAAAAAACCCCCCAACAAACAAACAAACCAAACCAAAAAACTCCAACAAAATCCAGAAGAATAAACCAAGTCTCAAATGCTCAAGTTTCAGTTCTACCCAACTATCAAAATTTGTTGCTTGATTTTTGAGCAGATTATTTAACAACTATACTTCAAGATTTGCTACCTAAAGGGCTGAATGTAATACAGCTGATCATCCAACTTCATTTGGTTCCTTCCTGGAAAAAAAGAAAAATCCCAAACAGAAGAGCCGATTTCCAACAAGAACTGTTTGCCTTTTATTCATATGTTTTTTTAAAAAATATCCACCCTGGCATTCTCTGTCATTCTCTCTGCTCCTTGCCCTCTACAAATTCTTTTAGCATAAATTTGTATTTTGTAATCATTAGCCCTTTACAAAGCAGCCAATACATTCAACTAGAGGTGAGGTTATAACTTTCAAATGGGGTAGGAAATTACAGCAGCATCATTAGGCTAATGAGTTTTGGCTAAAGAGTTCTTCCTTCTCAAGCAGAACCTCAAGATGAAGCATTTTTGTTTGTACCTGGAGATTCACAGTTATAGAACAGTGTTGTTCCAGACATTGAACACGTGACACTTCGCCAGGTAACAGCAGCACTGTGAGACAAAACAAGGTGGGTCTGAGGTTGCTGACGTGATGTCAATTCTGGTCTCCTTCAAACATCAATTTAAAAGTTGGACTTATATTTATAGACTGAGAATTGCTTAAAAGCAGAGCCTCACAACACCCCAAGTACTTTCCAAGATGAGCCTATAGTGGAAACATTTTCTTGCCTCAAAGCAAGTTCCATCTGATTTGAAAACTGATCATTAAACTCACCCTTCAGTGAACTGTCCCAGCTCTAGAATGGATGCACCAAGTGCTTTTTTTGCAGTTCCTTAATTGGAGATATCCTGGCCTTTTGGAGAGATACATTCTCTGACCTGCAAAATTTGTATAAGGATCCCAAACTGGATCACTCAGCTGGGGAATGAAGGATTCCCCCCTTAAATCTATTTTTCAGTGTCCAACGGGATGGATTTAGGACTGTTTGGCTTTCCCCATCTCCTTTAAACTTCGGCTGAGGTTGTCTCATAACTTTCTTTCATAACTGCTCTATTCTCTTCTCAACCACATCGTTGTAAGAGGAAGGGGAGTGAGGACAGGAGAAATCAGCTGAATCCAAAGGCAGCAGGTTTTGGGCCATGCTGTAGGACAGAACAACTGGAACTCCCCAGTTTTAAATCCCAAACAGGTTCCCAAGAGCTGTTGCTTGTGGCAGCTCTGGGCTTCCAGACTGACTTACACAGACAATCCTCTGTAGCCCAGCAGAGTTCTGCCCTGTGAGAAACAGAACTCAAGGTTAGCACCAAAACTGGCGTGAAATATGCTACTTCATTTTGGATGTTGTGTCTTCAAATCATAAGAAACAGAGACTAAAAATCCTGATCTCCATCCATGTCACCCATCACACTCCCCCCTCAGGACAGACACTGCCCTGGGGGCTCTACCCTAAAGCAAGTTTGAAATACCCTCCATTAATACTTTGAGGTCTCACACAGACATGTTGGTTCTATCACCCAACCCCTAATTTGTCTTCTTATGGAAGCTCTTCTGATCCTGCCAACAGAAAACTGACAACGTAGCAAAAAAGAACTGGAATGGGCCCCCCTCCAAAGCCCGATGTGGCAATTCCTGCCCCTTACACAGCAGCTCCTTCCTCTGCCTGATCTCTGCCATTTTAGTTGCAAGAATGATACAATTCCA